ATAGCTGGCAAATTTAATTTTTATTTACAAAATCAACATAGCCTCGGAGGGTCATTTTAATAGCAAAGATCCCACATGATCGAACAACATCTTGCCAAAACTGTAATTACGAAGAAAACTGTGTTGATATAGTTGACCAATTATTAAAAATTCAAAAAATAGGATTCTGGTTCTTCAAATAATTCATTCGAAAAACTTATTACAAATGTAAAACTAATATAGAATGAAAGGTTGTATTTACCGACAAACAAATTTCGCATTTGAAATAATTGCTATCGCTAGCTTTGATATTTTTTTACGTAATATTTGATAAACGTCTTTTTAAAAAAGAGAATTACTATTTGTACATTAGTGTGTAACATGAAACTACTTTTGGGGTTCTAACAAAAACTAATCTACGCAAAATTTTAGTATAAAGTACTCTCTAACCCTAACCCTAATATTAAGTATATAGTTGCAAATCAATTAATTAATACCCGTGTGTACACACTAGTGTAGGCTTAGAAATTTTCTTTCTCAGTTGAAAATTAAAAATTAAAAATAATCAATCAAAAAAGGTTTAAAAACTGTTTAACCCGTTTTTTTTACCATCCCTAGTCTCCGATAATTACCGTTTACATAATTTCGCATTAGTGCCACGGTATGTATATTTTTTATGGCATTTATTGTCCGGAGCGGAGTGAAGGACTTACTGTCCAGACCTCTGTCGAGACCTCTGTCACCTATCTATTATCTTTCTCTAGAACTAAATAATAAATTCTTTTGCGTATGTTCATTAGTTTGTAAGTTTCGTGAGGTTTTTTTCGTTTTCCAGACTGTAGTATAATTAAAAATTATGTATTTTGATTGGTTAATTATCACGGGAAATCACGGGTAGATCTACAAAAATTAACCAATCATACGAATGTCTGCCCATGAGGTGGTTCTTTTTTTTTTTTTAAATTCATTGACTAACTTAACCAACGGGTCAAATAATTTTTACTATCCGAGAGGTTTTTTTAAATATAAGCTGGAAATAAAAAGAAAGTCATTTTAAAATTTTATAAAACCAAAAAATTAACATTGTATAGCCTAAAATGTTATAATGTAATTGTCCAGTATAGACAGACTATTTGGATCACGGAATTGCTTTATACAAATCAGATTAGTGTTAGCATAAATGACTTAAATTAGACTGCCATTTTAACAATTATACATAGAAAATGAATTTATTAGTTGAAAAAATACGGACTGTTTTTTACTGATTCTATATTAAAAGTTCCTCGTTCTGGTAATTCTGGGAATGATAAATCCACCCATGTGTGTACATACATAGAAGATTGTCTTTTTTTCTTTGATTTTGGTTCTTCCTCCTCTTCTAATAATTCATCATTGTCCTCTTTAAGATAACAATCTGGCATTTCATTAAAGTCCATATTTTTAATAAAATTTTCAGTTTTTATGTTATCTAAACTACTAATGAAAACTTCATTTAATGAAGAATCTGATGCATTAACCTCTTTTGAGGTCACTAATTTTGAATCTTTTGATGAGGATTTTCGTGTAATTTTAAGCAAGTCATCTAAAGTTATAGTATCTTCATATCCATTATCTATTACTACTACTGGTGGTATTTTTTTGGAATTATTTGAAATTCCCAATTTAAGTTTCGTCTTTTCTAATTTTAACTTTTCTAAATCTTTTCTTAACACTTTAACTGGAACTTTATATCCTTTATAACGTTCAATAAATTCATTTCGAAGGTTTTCCATTATTGGTTGACTATGAAGTTGAAAAAATTGTTCTCGTATAACACTATTCATAGTTTCCACATCGCATGCATGGGACCAATAACTGTCATGTACAGAGGCGAATGTTAATCCTTTTTCTTTACACGCAAGAGCAGTCATAAGCATATGAGTAGCATCAAGTGAATGAATAAAATTTGGTGGGAATGCAGCTCGTTGTTTAATGCTATTTACTGGACTAGGGGTTTCTGAATCTATAATATTAATAGATTGCAAATGAGTTTTGATTTGTCTTTTATTCGGTCTTCGATATGGCTGAACTATTGGCAAATCTAATGGAGTCGTCCAAACCACTGCGGTCATTTGATTTGAAGCTGATCTATTAGGCGGAATTTTAACTATGGATTTCCTTAAAGGTTTTAGATTATCTCCAGCTTTTGTTTCAGATAAATAATCAATTTCATCTTTAATCTCTTCAGCAGACTTTAACACGCGCTCAGGTGGTAAGCTTTTCGCAATCCATTTAGCACTTTCGTTTAACCATTCTTGAATGGCTCTTGCTCCTTTAAAAATTTCTTCCAAGCAACCAAATACATGCTTTGCAATATAATGTGATAATTCATGAAGTCGTTCTTGTGGTATACTTTCAATTTCTTTGAGTCGAGCTTCAATTTGTAACCGAGCTCCAATAAATGTCACACCATACACGGTTGTCATTACAGTTTGTTTGACAACTTTACGATTAATGTGATCTAATACTATTAAAGCTCTTTCATCACCCATTTCTGCCTCAATTTTGACTACTTCTTTTACCCTATTAGCAACTGCAGTATATATATCAGATGGCGTATTAGACGGTGCTAGATTAACTTGAGATGCTCCCTCCAAGTCACCACCAAGAGCCGCGTAATGTTGTAATCCATTGCAGGTACCGTCTTGATGTACCGGAATTTGTGACATATATTGTTCTGGTGATGGTGAGCGTATTGCATCAGTTAATTCAAAGCATGCTGCCAAACATTGCCATGGATCTTCGGCTTTTTGCCACCATCGTTTGCCTTTCAAAGGATAATCCGCAGAATCCATTATTTCAGCAATATTCTCATTAGTAAACGCTTCTCGTTCACTAAATGGAACTTTGTCAAGTCCATATAAATTTGCCAAATGAATTTTAAGCCATCTTAACCCAGTTTTGCCTAATGGTTTTGCATCCTTAAATACTAAAAAAACCACGACATAAATCATCACCCATATGATTCAAGTGTGATGGAATTGGGTATGCACGACCACGGAAATCCAGACTATGAGGAAAGAACATTGGTTCGTCAAGATACTTTAATAAGAAAAAAAAAAAGGCAGATTGAGAAATAAATCATTTAAATAAATCATTAAATAAGTTATATCTTTTAAAAATAATCAACAAAAACCGAATAAACTTACAGCACCGGCAATTTCCACTTTATAGTTTACCATACATCTCAAAGAATGATTATTTCGTATTTTATTATTAATCTCTCTACATGTCTTAATCCATTGAATTTTCGATTTAACGTTACTGTCGAAATCTTCAGGTTTTTTAGGAATTTCTAGATTTAAATCGGCAGGTGGAATGTCAAGAACACCTTCACCACTATTCCAAATCTTTAAAACAACTTCGTATACCCTCTTATTAACGGCCCAACACGTAGAACCAAGGACATCCAAACCAGCAAAAACATGCTCTAAGTGTGAATTATCAGAAGCTTTTTTCAGATATGCCACTTGCTCAGGACAATCTTTTATTCTCATAGCAAGAGCTAATAAATGATTTTAAAAAATGGCTTATATATACGTGAAAAAGTAACCATCTTAATAAAATAGTAAATATTTCATACTTGGAGATGTCAGATAACCACCACTATTGAAAGTCAACCAAGGCTTTGGAATAATCAACATTGGTAACATGCGAGGATGTAAATGATCTCTAATGGATTCATTAGAAAGCCACTTTATCAATTGAGGGTTAAGCTTAATAACCCCAACTTTTTTACCTCTATTATATTCATAAGAATGAAAGAAAGCTGGCGCCTCTTCACTTCTATTATCAATAAGTTAATAACAAAAATATCAATAATAAGCACAAATTAATAATGATCAGCTGGTTAATAAATATTTTAATTCTCACATTATTTTATCAGTTGCATCAGCGGTTGAGACAGTAATTTGAGCAACTTTAATCAGACTAGCGGCCAAGAAAGAACCAATCTAAACGAGTAATATTAATAAATAATATTATTGTTGATACTTAACATATTTAGCTATGATGCCTACTTTAGCTCTTATTGTCGATCCCCAATCCGGTTTCCATGATGTTTCAATATCTTCTTTTTCTATTTTTCTTGCAAACCGTCGAATTTCCATATTGAATAATTTTCCAGATGCAAAAAGTTCATGAATATTTAAATCCTTATAGAACTTTTAATAATCATAGAAATTCTGGTCAATGTTCAAAATTTCAAAAAAGAAAAAAACAAATCGGTTAAACTTTTTAAAATATTTTAAATACCAATTTACGATTTTGTTTCTTTTTCAATTGTTCCGCGTTGTATTCACTTTCCACAGATTTACCAATAGCCATAATGGCACAAGTTGTTGTCATTCCTTCTATAACCTCACTATCACTAGATTGACGTAGCATTTCCAATATTGTAATGGCAGAGAGTTTATCCGCACTCAACAATCGCAAGAATGTTCCAGTTTGTGAATCAATACATTCACCACCTTAAAACGTCGCGAACCAAATTTAAAATGGATGATATAATATGGGATTTGGATTTAGAACTTTGTTATAAACATACCTTCCTCAATATTCTTATAAATACTTTTTTTTAATTCCATTTCAATCAAAGGAACGAGTTTTTCATGCCAAGCCCACATAGCTTTCCTCAAAGAGGGAATTCCAGAAAAAGCATCACCACGTTTACGCATTTGTTCATAATCATGTTTCCAACGCTCAATAGCACCATGTAAAGCATTTTCCTCTAATTTATTTTGACGATCATATTGATCCAACCCTTTCTCTTTTAGAGCTTCAAGAGAATTTTTTATAAGTTTAACACCAAATGCCTATATTGATTTTAGATAAGATAATCATAATTTTAATAAATTGTATAGAAAAGCGCGAAATAATTATATTTAATACCTTTGTTGGAATGGGTTCTGCAGTTAAAGGTGTTATTGATTCAATTTCAAGATGTTTCAAAAGTCGTTTTGAAAGACTGGAATTTTTATCTGAATTCAATAACTAAGTAGTCAAAATTGAAAATATAATGAATGATATAGAATATTTTAATGAAATGGAAATTAATTTCCAAATTATACCTCAAATAATTTTTGATTATCTTCATCAGATAATAAATTACTTTCTATTAATTGTTCAAATCGAAAACCTTTATCTTCCATATCAATAACTATAACTTGAAGCACCGTTGAACATTGAAAGTCTTTGCTCTTTCTATAATAATTGGTAGAAAATTTTAATTTTAATATTTAATGTATTTAATGTATATCAGACACGAAAAAAACGCGTATTCTGAGTACAAAAAAATTTGTAACACGAAAAGCTGAGAAATTGACCTCAAGTATCCTTTCATCAAGATAGCAAATGTCGCTAAATTAGGATTTATGCGACATTTATCACGCATTCTATCTAACCAATTGAATGCTATATTAAGTTCTGGAATAGGTGCATCTAGAAAAGCTTCGAGGAATGCGTTGTGTAAGTTGATATCTAAGAGGTGTTTCATATCCATAGGGCCTTTATTTTCTAAATACTCTAAAATTCTTTTGGCACGATCGGTTTGACCTAATTTTAGACATGCATATAATACAGCAAGATTTTCTGAAAAAACATGTGGAAGAATTTTTCCATCGTCTTTAAGTTGACTAGGCTGTGGAAGGATCACTAAGGGTTTATCAATGTTTAATGGCCGTTGAAAGGATGGAGAGACAGTATCTTGAAGAACTGAATAACGTCGAATCCGTATAAAAGAATATATGCGTTTATAATTACATCTTCGAAATAAAGATAACATTATTTTTAGTATTTTGAAAAAATTCGTCAGGTAGTTTAGAAAAAAAAAAATTTTTTTTTATCTATGTTCACGTGAATTTTATCAAAAAAAAAAAAAACTGATGGAATTACCAACCCCAAAATTGTAATAACGGGTTTTAGGGCATGTGACTTCCGAAACGTCTGATCCGACACCAAATATAACGATTAAGCAAAAAAAGTTAAAAAAAGTGTATTATTAGTTTAGGCACAGATCTTGTAATATTTGATTGGTAGGCATTAGGTCGGAACGTCGGAACGCCCACAATCATGTGGCCCGTGATAGAAATTGACTAAACTCCAGCCGACTAAAAGTCAAATTGAGGAATATTTTGAAAACCTAAATTAAACATTGGCTGGGCAAATTTTTAAGTCTACGGCTTTTTATAATGATACGTAATAACGGACTATATACATATTTATTTAATTCTTTAATCGACTAATTAGTTGACTAAAAAATTTAAATACTTTCCAAAGTATCAATACCTACCTACAGTATTGTTCTCTATTATTGTAAGATTGAATTTAGTATGTAGATTTCAAATTCAAAATCAACTTGATTTTCGATTATCATATTTTGTAAAGTTCATAAAATGGTTCCCAAGCAGGGTTGTATTAAAGACAAAATTGAGGGTTTTAAAAAAATAGCTATAGCCCAAAATTTTATTAAGATAACCTGCTTTTTAGTTCTTAAATTTTTAAAACTTGATTTTGCATATCAATAAATATACTGTATACTGTATTATAATTTTTTACAGCAATATAGTTTGTGGGTTAAAGATTGGGATATTAATAGGATATCCCAATATAAAAAGTTTGAGATAGTCGAAATATACAACACCGGTTTCAAGAATATATTCTTTTTATTAAAAACAAATTATTTATAATATATAAATAAGAAATTTACCGGAGAGAAATTGCCTCACTTAGTATTTTTAGGGTTAGGATACAGCTTTAAGATATATATGAGTTTTTTATATAATATAATATATATTGAATATAAGGTTCTGATTCAATTCTCGCGAGGTTTTCTGAGATATAGCACCTCCAAACACCCCCGGGTAAAATTACCCCTGTTAGATTAGCAATACTCTATAAATAAATATAATAAATTTCTTGAAAATATACAGTATATACAGTATATTATATATACAGTATATATATATATAGTAGTAATATTTAATTTTATATTATAAAAAAAAAAATTGTTTTTTACAGTATAAACTAAAAATAAATGGTTTAAAAAATTTTTTAGATTTACAAATTCTTAAACTTTTAAATACAGTATTAGTTTTAAATTCAATACAATATGAGTGCCACCAAGGGAAAACCTATTAAGTTGTACTTTTTGAATATTAACTTTTAATAAAAATATCTTAAAATTAGACAGTTTAGTACCTAATGTTCTTAATATTATTTGAATCGTCCCATTAAGATGATTAAAATATTAAAATTATAGGTATTAGATTGCCTGGTTTAAGATATTTTTTATTAAAAAACAAATATACAAAAAGTACAACTTGTAGGTTTTCTTTTGGCAGCACTCATATTATATATATATATATATAGTATATAGCTTATATGAAAAGGATCAACTTTTATTATTATATTTTTAATATTTTACTTTGAATTAGAAGCAAAAAATTTTTTATAGATAAAAAACATAAAATTTTAAAAATCTAAAAATTTTATAATAAAAAATTTTAAAGCAAAATTTTAAACATGCATATTCTTTAAATGCATCGTCTCTCTAAATGCATGTCCTTGTTTGGCCCCAACTTATATAACACTTATAGATTTTTACCTCTCCAAATGCAATATCTCTAAGTGCAAGATTTTTGGCCGCACCACGGCTATGCATTAGAGAAGTCCGACTGTAAAGATTTATAATACGAAAATACTTATATAGAATAAAATATTACATTACGGCGCATTTGTACGTAAAATACTGCTAATACGTATATAGTAATTTTGGCTAAGATAGTTGAAGGTGTGTCATTATAATAAGTTTATATGTCCAATGAAATGTGTCAAAGAGTGGGAAAATGGGTTTTATTATAGAGGAGTGTCAATAATTTTTTTTGGGTTCAATATTAGAAAATCGATAATAAATTTTGTCCCCAAAACTTAAATTTGGGGACATGATATATTTAAAATATACTTTATATATTATTAATTAATATTTGAAAAAATAGCTACTTTGGTGAATTTAAAATAGCTTTTATTCTCTTAATATCTAATTTTAAAAATAAAAAAAAAGTTTAAAAATACCAAAAAGAAACAGATACTAGGTGGTAGTAGTGCGGTGTTTTTAAATTATTGTATGTTGTTTATTTAGTTTTTCATTTTTAAAGTTTCATTTCTAAGTAAATTGCTTTGAGATTCAAATCTACCTAAATAGATTAGGTTTTTTTTTGCAGTATTTATAATAAGATGCGCGTATAGTTGAATTTACTACGTGTTTTAAAATACTAAAATTTGAATGATTGATACCTGAATTTAAAGAAATAAATTCGGGTTATAAAAATTTGCATTTACAAAATAGAGAGTCTGTATTTATTGGTTTATAATTATACAACTATAATTTTAATATGCATTTAGAATGGTTACATTTACAAAGGTTTTTAAATAGGCAATAATAAAAATCCCATTAGTATATAATCATTTGTTATTTAATAGATGGGCTAATTTAGAATCATTATATCTATATGATTCTCCACTCATTTCTTGAGTGGCACCACCTACAACTAAAGCAGCCAATACGCGACCTGGATCATCAGGATGAACTAATTTCTTCGACTCATGAAGATCTATATATTTTTGATGATCAGTTTGTTTCATTTGTGCTTTCAATCCTTTTTGATAAATATAAGTGTTTTTGAATTAAAAAAAGTATATACTGTATATTACTAAATTATTTACTAAATTATTAGAACACGTACCATTTTCGCGTATATTGGCTTGCATAGTTGTATCAACAACACCAGGAAGAATTGATACAGAAACTATATCTGGTTCTTCAACTGCAATGCATTTCGTTAACATATGCAGAGCAGCTTTTGATCTATTGAATCAAACAAGTATAAATTAAAAAGAACAATCACATTATAAAGTTTTTAATTTAACTTCAGAATAGTACATTACGTGCAATAAGGGGCCCAACTTTGGTGAGCAAAACTCGCAACACCAGTGGAAACAGTAATAATTCGGCCTCTAGAAGTTCGAAGATAAGGGATTGACTTTTGGATAAGCAATATATTTGAAAAAAAGTTTACATCGAAGTGACTATTTATTAATATTGTATTCAATTAGTAAATTTGAACAATTATAAAAAGAACGTATATTATGCAATTGTTACCGTTTCCATTCTTGTAAATTAATATCCGCAAAGTTTCCCATTGGATCTAACGTACTAAAAATCAACTATTTAGATAAATATTAACAAGTTATAAGGAGCTTCATTATATAGTAATTTACCCTGCGTTAGCAATGATACCATCAATTCTCCCCCAACGTTCTACACATTTTTTAACAACCTCCTCGACGATATGTTCCTCGGTAATATCACCAGTAATAGTTTCCAATCTTCCTTTCATACCCAACACATTTTCAGCGTGACTTTTTAAATCATTCAAGTCCTGGTTTGAACGTGCAACAGCAATTACATTACTGTCAAAATGTTGTAATAATTGTAGAGTTGTGGCACGTCCTATACCGCGAGAAGCACCGGTTACAATTATTGCTTTTGACATTTTCTAAGGATTCTTGTAACGTTGATCATTTTTTTTAAGTGAAATTTCCCATAGATGATCTGCACTGGTACGACATTGATATCTCTACAATATCAACCTATGTAATTATACCAACAAAAAATTTTCCGGTCACATGACTTTATCGTGGCGCAAACCAATTGAATTTCAGGATCAGGTGTAACGTAAAAAT